GTCCCAAGGAGCTCTTGCTCAGAGGGTCCTCTCCTCCTGGGAGTGAGTGTTGTTGGCAAAATCTGAGACCCCCACCCCTGGCCACTCCCAACCATCCACCCCCTGCTCTTCTGCACTTCGTGGCCTTCCCACATTGGTTCTGCTGGTCTCATCTGCTTCTGGATTTGCAGTTTCCCAGTCTCCCAGTTTTTCTGAAGATAAGTTTGATATGTGTGTTCGTGATGGGCTTTTTTTCTTCTTCTTCTGTGCTCCTTGTTGCTCCATATAGTTTCAAGAAGAAAAAATGGGACTATTTAGAATTAAGCTGCTGCCATGTTCCTTCCTGGTATAGTCTGGCAGGCTGAGCTGGTATTCTCTTGATGGGGTTCAGGGCAGGCTGCCCCAAGATGCACCACTCTGGTATGCAGATTATTTTGAGCTGAAAACGATAAAGGCTCAGAAGACTCAGGAAGAACATTTGACCTTCCCCCAAACTACCTAAAAGAATTTAACATAGAAGGCCTATTCCAGGAAGGAGCTAATACCATGAGATAGCCATAGCATAATGTAAAATAGGTGTGATAGAAAGGCACCAGCATGCCTATTTTTGGCCCAGCAAAACTTGTTTAACAAACATTTGCATTTCCATCTCCATGTAAATTGTCTTCCTCCCCTCTGAAATCCCAACCCACTGCCCCCAACATCCTCCTCTGCCTTTAGCTGAAGATGGTATTTAAGGTGGCAGCTTTGTCCACATAGCCGAGTTGCTCAGTATTCTTGGGTTTCTCCCGTGTAGACACGTTATTAAACTTGCGTGATTTTTCTCCTGTTATTCTGTCTCATGTCAATTTAATTTGTAGCCCAGCCAGAAGGACCTAGAGTGGGTAGAGCAATTGTCTTCCTCCCCTGCACTCTGTTTACAGAGAATCTGAAACTACCCTCCACCTGATCCTCCCTGCCCTCTCCCTGAGGACCTGCCCTCGTGAACTGTGTCACCCGGGCTCCCTCACCCTCGGGCAGTTGGGTTCAGCCAAGGGGGGATATCAGTAGGAGAAGATCGGAGACAGAGAAGAGAGGTATTTATTCCCCCTGCTCCCTCCTTGCTGGGCAGGTTTGGCAGTGGCTGTGTTTCTCTTCTGACGGCTGCAGCTCCTGTCCAATGACCCTCTCCTATAGCTGCATCTCTCCTCAGGGTCTGTATGGTCCCTCCCATACAGATTACTGCTGGTCCCTGGGGGCCTTGCCATCCTCATTGGTTCCCTTAAGTCTGTCCCCACCTTTGTGAACAGTCCCTTTCCTCAGGTACTGGTTTGATGTGCCCTCTGATGTGCCACCAGGACTCTCACTGACACCCATGGGTGTGTGAGTGTTGACGTGCTGGGGAAGTCTTCTTCCAGTGATTGACAAACCAAATCTTCAGGAGTCTGGACGTGGCCCCCCCTGTGGCTGGGAGGGGTCGGTGTGTGCAGGATACATGGGCTCAGTATACACTGTGTAGGGGAGGAAGATAATTCCTCTACCCTCTAGGTCTGTCTATCTGGTCTACAAATTAAATTGACATGAGACAGAATAACAGGAGAAAAATCAAACAAGTTTAATAACATGGGAGAAACCCAGGAAAACTGGGTAACTCTCAGAATAGTCGAGGCCGTCTGGGTAACTCTCAGAATAGTTGAGGCTGTCATCTTAAATACTATCTTCAGCTGAAGACAAAGGAGGATCTTGGGGGTGGGGGGAGTCAGTTATGGGAGATTACCAGAAAAGCACAGGCAACAAGAATAAGGTTACTCTGCAGATTTAAATCCTTGCCTTCTGCATTGATAAGAGTTTTTAGAGATGAGGTCATTCCCCCCTTCCTCCTAGTACAGAGAGGGAGACATCTTTACAAATGGAGATTTCCCTTAGAAATGTAAATGCTCTTACAAGGGGTAACTTCTACTTTTCAGAGCTTCTTCCCTGTCTGCAGTTTCTTAAAAGTAACCAGCCCAAAATAATCCTCATGCCAAAGAAACACATTTTGGGGTGGCCAATTCTGATCCCCCACAGCTGTGAGCTCAAATCTGTGAAGCAGAAGTAGGAGAAGGCATAGGCAGGATGGACAATCCTAAAACTCGACATTCATGACATCTGCAGTTCAAATCACATGAGAAATCATCATGCTTCAGACATAAGACAGCCCTAAGTATTTAAATACTTAAACTTTATTTTTTTTTTAAAAATTGGTAATTGCTATGCTGGCAAATTGCTATTTGAAAAGTTACCTCTCTTTGACCTGATGATGCAGCCAGCTGGTCCCTTGACAAACTGGGTTAGTGGGCAAGTTCCTCTTGGAGAATTAGTCAGCTCCTGTCAAGGCTCAATTCCCCCTGCCCCAAGCGCTGGGCTTGACCTGACTCAGGACAGCTGACATGGGTGCCTGTGTTCAGGGCTGCTCCATTGGGGTGCAGCATGGGCCAGGCCTCTTGCAAGATGGGGTGATACCCACCTGAGTCATCCTCAACCTCATCCAGGCAGGTAACGTGGTTCCCTGTAGGAGTCACCCAAGCCCAGCCCCTCAGACCAGAATCCAGCCCTGGTTAGGAGGGTCTTGGGCTGTCCCAGTTTCTTTGGCTGGAAGGAGTCCCATATCAGGGAGCCACGGGCTGGGCTGAGAGGACAGGGGGCTGGTCAGAGCTGGAGCTGGGAGGCCAAGAGGGACTGGACCTGGCCAAAGCACCAAATCTGGGGCCCAAGTCTGGTCCTGGGCAGCCTGGCCTCTCCAGGCCTCTTGCCTTCTCCCTACTGGTCATTTGGGATCTGTATCTGGACCCAGCCTTGCCAGGAGATCTGGGGTCCTGGTGTGTTGTCACTGGAGTCACAGTGCTCACACCAGGGCAGTGCGTTAAAGAGGAGCAGGGTCTCATGGGCAAGAGGATGTGGTGAGGGTAACATCAGTCTCACAGCGAGTGGACAGTGCACCCAGGGGCTGTAGTGGGTCGGGCTCCGGGCTGGCACTGAAGCCACAGTCCTGTTGAGTGGCCAAGCCCTGAGAAGGGCCTGTGGAAGGGCTGGTGAGCTCCTGAGGAGAGGCGGACTATGAAGAATGCCCCAGGGTGGAGACCGGTAGGGTGGGGTTTGTGGGGTCTGGAAGCCTTCTCAGAACTGGTGGGTGACACTGTCATCCTGTCAGGGGAACAGGCACAGAGAGGACCCCCATGGGGATGGGGGACACAAAACCTCAGAGGAAACAGCCAAAGGGCTTTGATGGATCCAGCGACCCTGTGGGTCTCTTAGCCCAGTTCCTACCAGCCACATCCCGGAAGTACCCCACTCTCAGTAGCGTTGCCCTGATGCCCTGAGCAGAACACTCTGGAGTTTGGCTGTAGAAGGGGAGGACAGAGTCATCTGGACCTGCTTCAGCTCCAGGGCCCCACTTTCCCCTGCTGAACCCACAGGGTGATTCATATGCATTTGTAAAACTTCCAACAGTAGTGTTATTGTATTCTTTTTCTTAAAGAAGCCCTCTCCAATGTTTAAGACCTGATCCACTCCTGCCACAGGGCTATGGCCCTGTGACCTAGATTTCCCAGAGGCAACACCCACTGCCCACCCCAGGGGGGTGCCTCTCTACACCATTCAGGAATTCAGGTGGGCCTCAGCTCTTAGGGCCCAGGCCATGAGGGCCTGTGGTCAGGTAAACACTAATTAGGCCCTGCTACACCCTCTTGAGCAGCTCTGAGGGATGAGGGAGACTGCGTGGGGGGAGGCCCGGACCTGGAACGGGGACTCAGGAGGACTCTCCCTCCATGATGCCTGGCAGTGGGAGTCACGTCCCCAGCTCGCGGGCTCCAAGGCAGCCTCATGCCCCTGTCACTCTTTGGCCTACCCACTGGTTGGTCAGGGTTCCCTGCCAAGTGGCCCCTCCCTAGCATGTCAGTGACAAGGGGGAGGGAACAGAAGTTTACCAAGAGCTGGCATGCATGATGCCACCAACGATCAGTGATATGACCAGGGAGGCATGAGGGTTCCCATTTTATAGATGAGGAGACTGAGGCTCAGGACGGGCTAGTGACTAAGGGAAGCAGCATGTGGCATGTGGCTTGAGGCGTCTTTCTCCATTCTGAGTAACCAGGGAGGCAGCCTGGCCCCCTAAACATGTAGTGCGTCAGTAGAGCGGCTTTATGGGAATTCTTGCTAGGGCCAGAAGCACCACCTCAAGTGGTGGTGGGGTCCTCCACCTACTCCTCCAGGATCTCCTGGGGGGCACTGCTACCTCACGGGGCCTCCCAGAGAGGCCAGGCTCCAAGGGGCAGGGAGGGCTGGGTTCCCTCACGCGCTGCCTGCCCCTGGGCTGGGCCACTCAGGTGCTCCTGTGGGTGAGAACCAGCTGACTGCCAGCCGGGGGTGACGAGGCGTCTGGTCAGTGCTGTGTCCTCCTCCGCCTTGGGCAACACACTGCCCTGAGTGCCCCACCTGTCCAATGGAGGCTGCAAAGCCGCTCTGCAGAGCCGAGGTCCTTGGGAATGGGGAGGGCAGCACCCCCACTTCACTTGTGTTCCTGGCCTGAGGGGCTGCCCAGGACCCCAGGCCCACAGAACTCCCAGACCCCTGACTAGGCCACCCTGGGGACCTTGGACAGCAGGCTGGAAGTCCTAGGCCTTGTCTGAGTACACACCAGTGCCCGGGCTGTGGGGAGCTCCAAGCCCAGAGGGCTGGCATGGCTGCTGTCCCATGTGCCCCTCATCCCACAGGGCACTCAGGCCGCCTGCCTCAGGGGAGGGGCATGTCCCGGAACCCACCTCTCTGTCTCGCTTCAGTCTGGCTCCCTGGCCCTCCCCTCACAGGGTCCCAGGATACGGGGTGTGGGGGTCTCATGCTGCCAGAGAGGCAGTGCCTCAGCCAACTACTGGGGCGGCCCCACCCAGCCTCTTCCTCCTGCCACCGTCTGTGCTGACTCAACGCCTGAACTCCTACTGGGCAGAGGTGAGGGCTGGTGCCCCAGAGCGCAGCCAGGCATCAGAGGCATCTATAAAAGCACACTGGTCCTGGCCCCAGCATCCTGCTTGGCCACTAATTGCCGCCACATAATGCTGGGAGGCCTGGGAAAGCTTGCCGCCGAGGGCCTGGCCCACCGCACCGAGAAGGCCACTGAGGAGGCTGGTAAGAACCCTGCTGCTCCTTTCCACCTGTGCTGTTCCCCTCGGGCTGGGGGATGGGGACAGACTCAAGCGGGCCTGTCGAAGCTGATCCCAGCCGGCTGGGGACAGGCTTTGGCCCCATGGGGAATCCTGGCCGACCAGCCCCACCAGGACATGATGGAGGCCAAGGAGGGCAGCTTGGGGTGGAGCCATGAAGGGTCCACTGCACCAAGCAACTCTCCCTCCATCGGACCTGCTCTGCCACCTGTTCTTGGGGTCTGTGGCTGAGGGCAGGAGGGAGGCAGCCCAGGGGAGGCCCCTGGGGGCAAGAGGGGAGCCAGGGTGCTGAGTGAGCAGTTGGTGGCTTGAATCCTTCCCCCTGGAAACCCTGGGAGCCCTTCCATATCAAAACAGGCTACTCGGAATATCCTATACAGAAAAAGGAAGATGGATTTTTGTTTTTACTGTAACTTTAAAGCTTCAAAGATTTCTTCATTAAGAAACCACTAAGTCTGATTCTGTTCAAAGTCAGTCCCTGGGGTTTATATAAAGGATATTTTCAATGTCTTCCAAGTCCCCAGAAACCCTCTTTTGCATGCAGAGGTCTGCAGCTGTATGCAGGGAGGTTAGTCCAGGTCCCACCTGTGGACGTTTTGTGACAAACAGCTTGTGCCTGAGTTTGCTGTTCTCTTTCTAAACGGCTGCACACGTGTCTGGACTTGATCTGTTAGCTCTGCAGCTGGTGTTGGCCGCCCTCTTGCATCTTGCACTAGCCCTGTATTATTCTCTAGTTCTGTATTATTCTCATTCTACAGACGAGGGAACGAGTAGTGGAGGGTAGAGTTAGGATCAGAACCAGTTTTTCCGACTCAAAAATCTTCCAGTTGTAGCATGCCAGCACTCAAGCTTTAAACAACTCCTAGGTGGGCAGAGTTCCCTCCTATTGGGGGATTGCTTTGGGGGACTTGGACTTGCTGGAGGAAGCTTCAGGTTTCGGCCTCCTGCTGCAGCCTCCATCTGGCCTGAGGCAGGACAGCAATGTGCCTGAGGTGTGGTGACCTGGGAAGCAGGACCGGCCTTGGCTCGAGGGCCCCAGCTGGCATTCCAGGCCACGTTAGACCAAGGGGCATGGAGGGCCTTGTGCCCTTCTCTGGCTCACTCAGCTTGTTTCCTGGTAGCCAGGCCCACTCAAGTCTCTGAAGGAAGCCAACTGAGGGTCCTTCTCTTGACGGCTAGGGTGGCATCCCGGAGCCCCAAGCAGGACGTCCAGAGCTGTCTGGGCCCCCCCGCCGTGAGGAGAAGCTGGCTTGCACTGTGCTCTCACTCTGGGCTTGTCTCATTTTTTCAGTTCATGTTGTGGAGGGCGTGGTGAAGGAGGTGGTGGAGCACGCCAAGGAGGCCGGAGAGAAAGGTATGGCCAACGTCAAGCCAGGGAAGGAGGGAAGCTAGGTGCTGGGAGGAGCTCGTTCTTTGCCTAACCAGGCCCGACTGTGACCCGATGCTGCACCTTTTCAGTTGGTATACAATTTTCTATGCTAATCTGAGGCCACAGCCCACACTTTGCTAAAGCAAGATCCATGTAGATAGTCCTCTCTGTGGAATGTTAAGAAAACTATGTCACAAAAGACTATGTGGCAGCACCCTGGGGCAAAACATTTAAGACACAAAATTATATAGTTATATAGATACATATTTACGTAAACGTTTATATGTGTGTGCATGCTGTGAGCGTAACTATGTAAAAAGCATGTGTATCCCTCATTCCTTACAACAAAATAGATTCCAGATGGATCAAGGACTTAAATATAAATACATGAAATTATTAAATTGTTAGAAGAGAACCTAGGCTATTTTGGCATAATCTTGGAGAGGGGAGGATCTTTTTAACCAACAGCCATAATGGAAATATTTGGTAAATTTGACAGTATAAAACGTCAAAATTTTTCATAGAAAAAAAAAACTATAAACCAAGCCAAAAGAAAAACCACAAACTGAAGAAAAATATTTGTAATAGAAATGATAAACCAATATAAAAATGACCAAAAGATATAACAGGCAGTTCACAGAGAAAGGACGTACAAGCAGGCAACACAGCCCTGACGTGAGCAGATACTGCATCTTGTGAGTGCAGAAATGCAGCTTGTTGGGGGAAATAAAACCAAATTTGAGTGCATTCCTCCAGGAGCTCCACTGCCCTCTGCCCCATCGGGGCTCCTCCAAGGCAGGATCCAAAAGGACCGCCACATCCCACAGGCCACTCCAGATGACACTAGGCCAGCAAGTGGCTTGAAATGGTTCCTTGCTCACCCAGACGTTATTCCTCCTTCTTCCTGACAGCCATTGCTGAAGCCTTAAAGAAGGCCCATGAGACGGGGGACAAAGTGGTGAAGGAAGTCACCGAGACAGTGACCAACACAGTCACAAATGCTGTCACCCACGCAGCAGAAGGCCTGGGCAAACTGGGACAGTGAGCATGCCCACCACAGGTGGACTCTTCCTAAGTCTCAATAAAAAGCTGTGAAATGTGTATACCAAGCCCTGGATTTATTCCTATTTGGTTAGAAACACTGAATATGTCCTGAGTGTCCCCCCGGCAGGGGTAGGGGGTGGGCACATTGGCACCCGCTGGGGGTCAGTAAGTCCCCAAAATTAATCAGATGTGCTGCTCTCACATTAAGATTTCTCATGTCAGGGGCTGGCCCCGTGGCTTAGCGGTTAAGTGGGTGCGCTCCGCTACTGGCGGCCCAGGTTCCGACCCGGGCGCTCACCGACCCATCCACGCACCGCTTGTCCGGCCATGCTGAGTCCGCGTCCCACATACAGCAACTAGAAGGATGTGCAGCTATGACATACAACTATCTACTGGGGCTTTGGGGAAAAAAAACGAGGAGGATTGGCAATAGATGTTAGCTCAGAGCTGGTCTTCCTCAGCAAAAAGAGGAGGATTAGCACAGATGTTAACTCAGGGCTGATCTTCCTCACACAAAAAAAAATTTCTCATGTCAGCAAGGAGCTCTTGAAGAATTGTTAGTGTCTGTGCTACACTTCTTAAGACGTTATTTTCTCAGAAACTACATGTAGCTTTCAGATACCTCGGTGCCTCAAGGACACCCCCAAAGAGGACCATAATTCAGCTTCCATGTTCTTTGGGTTTTCTTTGAAATATTCTCAGGGAAGGATTCGGGGAAGATAACAGATCAACCTGACTGAGAGGTTAGCTGGGCAGACTCAAACAGTTTGAGTTGCTTCACGTTCTGAGAGGGGCTTCAGAGAAGCATCTCTGCTGGACAGTCACAGAATCTTTCAAGGAGGAACTGAGTCCACTGCTAATTGGCTGTTGGCTGTGGGATCTCCACTAGGAGACTTGCGTCACGCCTAACTGGTGGGAGTGGTCGAGAATGCCTGGCCTTCCCTCCTTCCTGCCACAGTGAGTCAGCACCATAAAGATTAAACAAGTTTAAGCAGCACTGAGCTTAACATTTTGGATTTTAAAAAAAGGAAATGATTTGTAAAGATGTGGCATTACTGGGGCTGGCCCGATGGCATAGTAGTTAAGTTCGTGTGCTCTGCTTCAGTGGCCCAGGGTTCGCAGATTCGGATCCCGCATGCGCACTGACACACCGCTTATCAAGCCATGCTGTGGCAGCGTCCCATATAAAGTAGAGGAAGATGGGCATGGATGTTAGCTCAGGGCCAATCTTCCTCAGCAAAAAGAGGAGGATTGGCAATGGATGTCAGCTCAGGGCTAATCTTGATCACTAAAAAAAAAAAAAGATGTGGCATTGCTTATCTATCTTGTTGGAAGTCACTTGTTCTTGGCAGAAATTAGAAGGAAAGGTGTTTCGAGGAATGAGTTAGTTGCACACCATATTTCTAGCTTCCTTTTAGAATTGGCTTCACAAGTTTCTGAACAGCCCAGGAATATTCTATATCCTGACTTGGAACTTTTGCCACTGTCCAGCTAAATATGGACCTTGTATCTTGGTTTGGTTCCTGATGACTTTTGAATTCCTCCAATCCAAACCCAAGCTCAAAAGGATGAGAGCACTGTGGGTGGAAGTGTGAACTGGAACACCCTGTTTGGACAGTAGTTCCTCTTACCAGACTTTACTCTTCAGGTGTGCACAGGTACATACAGATGCCCAAAGGGCAAACACACAGATTCAGCGTGGCATGTTTGTAATAGCAAGAGGTTGGAAACAACCTAAAATGGTAATCAGAAATGACTTGGATGGCAAGTTTTGCTCTGCTTGTTAGGTTTGATATACTATATAGAGCTGACACCTATTATTTCTAGTGTATTCTAATGCCTTAGCTTGAAAAATGGGACCTGTGCCTAGACAGCCAGCAATAGGGACTGGTTAACAATGATCACATATATATGAAATGGAGTACTCCATGGCTGTGTGGGGGATCAGAATTGGCCACTTCAAAATATGTCTCTTTGCCTTGATTATTTTCAAGAACAAAAGACTCTGAAAGAAACTTTGACCTTCCCCCCACTAACTGCCTAAAAGAAATTTAAAATAGAAGTCCTGTCCCCAGGACAGCCCATCACCATAGATAAATCTGGGTATCAATAGACTGGGAGAGTCGTTGCTAAGCCCATTCTTATCAAAGTTCTGTTTATCAAACATTTGCTTTTCCATTTCAATGTAAACTGCCTTCCTCTTCTTTGAAGTCCCAAACCACTACCCCCAACACCCTCCTTTGTCTTTAGCTGAAGATAGTATTTAAGATGAGATCCTCTGCCATTTTGATGAGTTACTCAGTTTTCCTGGGTCTCTTCCATGTATACATGTTATAAAGCTTTGTTTGATTTTCTCCTTTTATTCTGTCTCATGTCAATTTAATTCATAGCCCAGTGAGAAGGACCCAGAGGGTGGAATATTTGTCTTCCTCCCCTACAGCTGTTAAGATGAAGAAAATGTACATATACTGTATGAGAAAACGTCCAAATAAGTTAATAAGTTGTAAAATATGTATGTAGAATAAGTTCATTTTTACAGAGGAAACACATAATTGTATAAGAATAGAAAAAAACTGGTAGTGTATTTGTTTTTTTTATAATTTAATTAATTAATTTATTTTTCCCCCAAAGCCCCAGTAGATAGTTGTATGTCATAGCTGCACATCCTTCTAGTTGCTGTATGTGGGA